ACTGGTGCAATATGACCTCATTTTAACTTGGTTACATTGACAGAGTTCCTATTTTGAACACTATCACATTTTTTTGTATAAGATTTTGGCTTCAACATATCTATTTTAGGAAAAGACACAGTCTAGCCAACAGCTCCATCTACAACAATTTCTTAAAGGTTCTGTGGCTTTTTTCAAAGCTATGAGAAGGCTTTGAGGAGATAAAGTGGAAACAATTTCAAGAACAAATTTAAGTTGTGAAAAGCTCCCTCGTCATTGTGAAGTATAGATTGTTGTTATGTGCTCTTGACGCCAAACCAACTCACAGTTTGTCCTACAGCAAGTGTTCAGAGGCTATAAATTGAATAGGAGGAGACTGCCCCAACTTGCTTTCTGAGAGCATTTGGTGAGTTTGAACAACCTACCTTTTGATTGGCTGAGAACTTTTTTATTCATAGGATCATTAGACCTTCCTGAAAATTAGATCAAAAAAGGTAAAGAATAAATTTAAAGGTCAGAACTAGCATAAAATCTTTGGTTTTACTAATATATTTCTTTGTGTAAGAGACTTTTTTTGCACAGTTTAAAAAAACAAAAGATCATTATCTCTGTTTTCCATTAGAAAAATTAATGTGAACTTGATAAAACATGCTAGACTGACAGTAAAAGGATTTATTTGTCTATAAATAATGGTCTTCATTTTACATTTAATGCATATTTCTTCACAATAAACATAACTTAAATATACTTTCTGTTGTTGTTGTTGGTCAAAATGAATGTTGTTGTTGTTGTTGTTGTTGTTATGTGCCATCGAGTCGTTTGCGACTCATAGCGACCCTATGTACAACAGCCATAAACTCTGCTCTATCCTGACACTCGCACATCTCTGACACTCCTGCGCTGTTCCTCCACCCTCCCAAGCATGATGTCCTTCTCCAAGGACCGGTCTTTCCTCACAATATGTCCAAAGTATGTTAGACGGAGCCTCAGAATCATTGCCTCAAAGGATTCACCCGGTTTAACCCTTTCCAGGACAAATCTGTTTGTTTTCCTAGCAGTCCATGGTACTCTCAATACTCTTCTCCAGCATCACAGCTCATACATTTATTTAATAATATGAAAATGGCTGAGAAACCAGCATTTTGGCTTTAAAAAGTTGAGTTTTAAGAAGACTGTGAATTATCAAGTTCATGTGTCTCCTAAATTGTTCAATCGATTTTGAAGTCCACGCATGTGCTGAACAGATACATTTTGGAGACATTCATATAGAAGCCATAAGAATGTGAGGATGATAAAAAGAAAACCGAAAATATCAGCTCTGATATTTGAGCTACCAAATTTTCCCTAAATTATGTTGTTGTTGTTGTTCAGTGCCGTGTCATAGGCAACTCATAGCAACCCTATGAATGAAAGTCCTCCACACTTGTGTGTGTGACTTTCATCCTTTCTCCAGGTTCATAAGGTTTCCAGAGGCAAGCTATTCACGGAAGTGGATGCCACTCCTGCTTCCAAGCTTGTTTCAGCCGGGAACTCCACCCAATACTGTCCACCATGGGTAACCGTTATCGCATTTGACACATCAGTGTCACAGTGTTCAGCTTCAGAGTGACCACAAGTTGCCCCTATAAGGCAAGTGGACACTCAATTGCTGTTCTGTACCATTGAGTCAGAAATGACCCGTAGCTGACATGATAGAAAATTTTTAGAGGTAGTAAATTGTAGGGGAAAAGATTTCTCATTCTTCTCCCGTGAAGCAGCCAGTGGACTGAAACTGTGTGCCTTTGCGTTTGCAGCACAACTTCCTATCACTAGGCCACCACAGCTCCTCACTTAATCAGGACAAACACAAATAAAAAGAAAAAAAAAATCAGGACAAACACAAAGATAAAACCCTGCGCTCGGAACAAATAAACCTGCACTAACTTGTATGCAATTTTCATTTCTCAAACTCTTTGTTTAAACACCTGTGTACCATATCTCAAGGCCAGTGTTTTGTATTCTTTTTAATAAACTTTGAGATCTTTGTTGGTTGTTGCTGTCATCAAGTTGACTCCAGATCATAGTGATCCTATATACAAAGGATGAATACCTTGTCTGATCCTGCTCTATACTAGCAATCTCCATGGCAGTGAAGCTCATTGCTGCAATAACAGTTGTTGTTGTTGTTATGTGCCATCAATTCACCTGTGACTCATAGCAACCATATGTACTATGACTCTGACCCCTGCTCTATTCTGAGCCAGTCTCACTGACTCTGACACACCTCACCCCATTGCCCTAGATAGTTGGTCAATCCATCTTATCTGGAGTCTTCCTCTCCTGGGTTGTCTGTCCACTCTTCCAAGCACGATGCCCTTCTCCACGGACTGGTCCCTCTTGGCCACATGACTAAAATATGTGAGAAAGAGCTTCAAAATCCTTGCCTCTAAGGAGAAGTGTGGTTTTACTCTCTCCAATTTGTTCTGTTTCAGACCTATTTGTTCTCTTTGTGGTTCACAGTATGTTTAATACTCTTCTCCAGTACCACATCATCTAATTCATTCCAGATCTTCATCTCTCTCTCTCTCTCTCTTTTTTTTTTTTTACTTTGTACTTTGCCAAGCATTATGTCCTTTTGAAAGAATTGCTCTCTTCTGAGATTATCTACAAAGTATATGAAGCAAAGTCTTACCACCCTTGCCAGTAGGGAGCATCCTAGTTGCATTTCTAAAACAGATTTGTTTGCTCTTTTGGTGCTCTTGGTATATTCAATACTCTTTTCCAATACCACATTTGACATTAAGAGTTCTTCAGTTACCTTATTTGTTGTCCAACTTTCGTGCATGTTGTCAACTCACATGTGTGGAAGCAACTGAACGAAATAGCATAACTTTAATCAGGTACATGTCAGTCTTTAAACTGATACCCTTTCCCTTTTTCACTTTGCAGAAGTTTTTGAAGCAGATTTAACTATTGCAATAAAAGGAATAATTAAAATACTATGTCACGCTGTTGAACAGGTACTTTGACCCAGAAGCACTAATTTCTTTGCTGATACTTTTCTTCCAATAAATATTGATTGTACAAATGTTAAGAGAAATGTATAGTAGTTTCCAAATTAATATTTGATACCATATCTTTTTATCTTAATATTGCATAATCAACATTTATTGGAAGACTAATTTAAGATTATGTGAGTATTCAGATCTGTGCTTCTAAGCAAAAATATTTGTATATTATTTATTCTGACACAGTTTTAAAATATCATTTTGTGTTGATTCTATCCTAACATCTAATTTAAGTGAATCAACTACCTTTGCAGAATTGAGAGGTGATAATTTATACCCATGGTGGACAGTGTTTGGTGGAGCTCCCTGATTAAAACAAGCTTGGAAGTAGGAGTGGCATCCACTTCCAAAATAGCTTGCCTCCAGAACTTTATAAACTTTGAAAAATGATGAAAATTATACAAGTGTTTAGGTCTTTTATTCATAGGATCACTATGAGTCATCTATGACTCAATGGCACTTAACAACACCACCACCAACTTAGACAGAGCTCTGTGGGTCTGGTGGATAGAAAGTTATGCTACTAAGTCAAAAGTGGGTGATTTTAGTCTGCAACCCTCAGGACTGGTTTTAATTGTTTTTGGTCAAACATTCCTCTAAGTGGTATATCATAGGTCTACGCACTTGCTGTACAGAGGTAACTCGTGGTTGTTGTGATGCTAAACACTGTGACACTGATGTGTCAAATGTGATAATGGTTACCCATGGTGGACAGTGTTTCAGGGACCTCCCCAATTAAAACAAGCTTGGAAGAAGGAGTGGCATTCATTTCCAGAACAACTTGCCTCTAGAAACTCTATGAACTTGGAGAAATAATGAACGTTATACAAGTGTTCAAGTCTTTTGTTCATAGTGTTGCTATAAGTTGTCTACGAATCGACAGCACATAACAACAACAACAATATATGCTGATTTCCTGGGTATCACTTTGTTTTAATAATATTTTTAGTATTAAAACATAAGAGTTATTACTTTGGTTTCTATGTTTCACTATGAAAATTCATATTGCTCTAATGAATAGTATATTAAGTTATTAGTATAAACTATGAGTCAGTTCTGACTCAATGACACATGAAATCAACATAACGACATACTAAAAGATTACTTATTATGTGATTCTAATTGTTGTTAAAGAATAAAATCCTAAAGAATATGGGATCTAAATGTATTCATTCACACAGAGAACATGTTTTATGTGTTCAGAAAATCTGTTAAGTACTTTCCTGTATTTAAACACCAAGATGTGGCTATTGTTAGTTTTGTTATGTGCCATTGAGTCAGAACTAACTCATAGCTGAGTCTGCAGTAGTTTTTCAGAGGTTGTAAATAGTATGAGAAAATATTGTCCAAATTTCTTTCAGGGAGCAGATGATGGATTTGAGCTGCCTAAATTAGAGTTGGCAATACAACTTCTTACCACTAGGCCACCAGTGCTCCCTGGATGTGGCTGTAACATGTTTATAAAAAAAGATGTGAAGTCAAGCACATCTTTCACCAAGATAATGAAATACAACAATGAGTCTTGTCTTATAGTCTAGTTGCAGAATTTACAGTTTGGACAATGTAATTCTGAGAAGAAGAGAAAATGTATTTATGCTATCTTAGAGTACTAATTCCAGGTAGGTCATTAGTATCATTGTGATGATCTATGGACAAGAGAATGGAAAATACAAAGAGAGTGAATATCAGGGAAGTTAGCATTAGGCCCAATAACTGTTGATAGGAGAACCTACCAAAGAAAACATTAACTGGTGTTTAGTAATTACACATAATCTACTATGACTTTGATGACTTGAAAGGACACCTACAGATACAATGACAAGAGTATTCCGTTTACTGGGGAAACTGGTGAAGTAATCAGAAGGTTTTTTTTTTTTTTAAGGATATCGTGTATTATAGGGAACTGTCTCAGAAGTGAAAACAAAACCACCTTAGTTGTGCTCACAGTTGAAAGAATCTTTTTATTTCTGACAGGAAAAAAAAACCGATTTCAGATTCTTGAAGTCTTTGGCGGACAGATCTTGGGCAACTTTGCAAACGATGTGGTGGCTAGAGACTCTGTGAAATTAAAGAAAGAGGAAAAGGAAAAAATTTACCATGCAAGAGGCCACAATAAGTTTGAAGCCTTGCTAAAAACTTTCAAACAGAATCCAGAAGCTGCACCCCAATTCCTTATCGAAGCCTTCCGTAAAAATAGCAGAGATATAGAAGGTAAGGCTAGACTCATTTACTCTCACTCATTGTATTTGACCCAATGATGACTTGTATTTTCTAGGATTTGCTTGTTGCATGGCTCTTTCAGTGTTTCCTCTGATTCTGCCATTCTTCTGTTCCTATGTTGTTTCCACTAAACCTACTCTTCTCCTTTTTAATATCATTTGGTCTTTTGGGGTTTTTTTGTTTTTTGGGTTTTTTTTTTTAATTTGGTCTTTTGTGAATGGTGATCCTATATTGTTTCCACTAAACCTACTCTTCTCCTTTTTAATATCATTTGGTCTTTTGTGAGTGGTGATCCAGTTTCCAGTTAAAAAGATGAATTTGTGTGGTTTTGCTGATCATTGTTAACAGCTAATTGTAGAGAATTAGTAGTGAGGGAAAAAAAAGAACTTTAAATGTGTGTCAATCTCCTTGGGGACTGTGTAAATTTTTACAGGTGTTCTATTTTTCGTTGGGTGTCACTTTCAGCATCTATGATGTGGGGCAATACTATACCTTCCTCAAAGGGCCAGATATATGCTGACAAGCCCTGAGACTTTAGCTCTCATCCCAAGCTCTCTCTTATAGCTCTTCTAGCTACATATCCAACATTTCTATTTGAATATTCACCTGATATCATACAACTACTAACTAATATTAAACACTGGATTTCCTCGTTGTATCTAGTCCACTTTTATTCAATGTCAGTAAATAGAAATATCCATGTGCATCACATTATATTTCTAATGTGATGAGTACTTTAATAAATACTATAATATAAACATGATCAAAGACAATATAAATCAACAATAATGTGAATATTAATGTAAACCTATTGAGAAATCACACTGGGAAGAAAAGCAGAGTAATATTTTACAACAAATCATCCGGATATTTGCACAGAGCTGTTATAACCTATTATGATAATTTTAGAGGGGTCTTCTTCTCTGTCAAGGACTTCTGTCCTCTGAATTATAACCTCTACATGTGAAATTCTTCTTTCCAGAATTTCCCTTCTCTCTTAATAGTCTTGGAAAATACTCAGAAAACAGGCAGAAGTAATAATCTTTATTTTGTGATGTATCTTGCAGTTTCTCCAGAAGTCAATATTAGACCAGATGAATCAGACGAATTCCCTGATGCCCTCAAGCTTTGTCCTCATGAAGAATTCCTGAGACTGAGTGAAGAAAAAGCTGGAAAGGTGATATGAGTGTGCTTGAAAGAGGGGGATGTAGAGAAGTGGAGGACAGGGTGTGGACAAGGGGATCAGGAGGAAGAGTGAGAAACAATTTAAGAAATAGACATTTTCTTAATTTAATTGTGTATTCGAGAAATATATAGTTACTTAAAATATTAATTGTGGGGACCAGTGGCAATCTTTCTTACAAAGACTGTGACAAACATCAGTGTGGTTCCCATTACCTTTCAAGCCCATGAAAAATAAATGTAGACAGCTTACTTTGTGCTTTGTATGCTTATCTCTACCAGAGATTTAAGACAGTGTTAGCTGTAGTCCTAGAATCAAAACATCTGTAACATATCATGGCTGAATAGTAATTGTTTTTATTCTAGCTGAAAATTTTAGATAATAGATGTGAAACACACACACACACACACACACACACACACACACACACACACGCTCTTTAAGCCTATAAAGCATTGTAAGTTGCTGTTTTTAAAGCATTAACAGCACAGTTACGTTGCCTAAGGAAAAGTTCTCCTTTTTGTCTGGAGTCAAAGGGAATGTTTCCTAGTTTAGATGAAATTTGATCTCAACCTTGATTGCACAGATACTTTTGAGTAAGTAATGAGACGTGGAGGCAAGGAATTGTTTTAGTTTTGTTAGTACACTTGAGTAATCATGCCAGATACATTCTGATTCCTTTCCTAGAATCTTGAAAAATATTTCACTGTAAGATTCTTTCATTAGCTTAAGTGTAGGCTGCTAATCAAAAAGACGGTCATTCAAATACTTCAGCTACTCCAGAGAAGGAAGGCCAGACAGTCTGTTTTCATACAAATTTACAACCTTGGGAATGCTAAGAGATAGTTCTTATCGTCTCTATATGGTCGGTATGAATCTCAGTACACTATAATAGTGGGTGTGACTTGGATTTAATTCCTTCCCCAAGAACCTCTCTTGATGCCTTAAGTAGCAATTGCATCAATTTAAAGACTGCACCTGTCTCAAGCCAGGGTTTTTCAATCACTTGCTATGCATCTGAAAGTTGGATAATGACTAAGGATGACAGAAGAAGAATCAATGTCCTTGGAAACTTCAGCAAAAAGTAAGACCATCAACAAGATAATTTGACACAGAGCCTGTGAAAATGCATCATGATGATGAGGATGGGACAGGATAGGGCAAGGTGCAGATCCATTGTTCATAGAGTCACTATGAGTTGCAGTCAACTTGATGGCACCTAAAACAACAACAACACACTTCTTTATACTGTCAACTCGATCCACTATAAAGTGAAAAGAAGGCAGTGTCCATTGGTAAAGTTAGAGAAAAATGGTAACATTATAAAATAACATTGATTAGTATCTGTAAATAAAGAGAGACTCAGGTAAACTCACAGGATATTCATTTCTTGCAGATCTATCCAATCAAGGAGAAGAAAGAGCGCACTCGACTGGCTCTCATTATTTGCAATATAGAATTTGACACTCTCTCTCAGAGGCTTGGGGCTGATGTTGACATCAAAAGGATGACAAAGTTACTTGAAAGCCTGGACTACAGCGTGACGGTGGGAAAACAACTCACAGCTGTGGTAAGAACTCTTCTTTCACACTAGGCACATGTGCATTTAATACCTCTATCCTTCTAACAAATTACGTTTATAACTTACGGATGACTTTTTGACAATTCAGTTCACATCTCTCTCTCTCTCTCTCTGTGTGTGTGTGTGTGTGTGTGTGTGTGTAAAGAAGTTATCCTTTACAGGTGCCACAAAGTTGACTGCAACTCATTGGGATCCTGTGAGCAACAGATCTGAATCTTGCCCTACTTGGCTCCATCCTCAACATCTCTGCCATACTTGAGCATGTTGTTGAACATGTCAATTCATCTTGTTTAGGGCCCTCCCCCACCTTTCCTCTGACCTTCCCTGAATGATGTCTTTTCTCAAAGACTGACCCTTCCTAACAATCTGACCCAAGTAGGTGGGATGAAATTTCACCATCTCTGACACCCTGGAGACCATTACTGCAATCACTGTGTCAATCTGTCTGGTGGAGGGTCTTCTTCCTTTTACTAACACTCTACTATATGTTGATAGATTTCTGTATGGTTTCTTAACTCTATAGATTTATTTGTTCTTTTGGCATCCATGCGCTATTCAGGGAACTCTCATGGCATAGTGAGAAAGAAATTGTACTACCATCTCAATGGCACATGGTTCGAATCTCTGAGTGACTCCTTGGGTGATAAACAGGTAATCCCCTCCCATAAGATTTACAACCTCTGAAAATCCACTGGAGGCCTGTCTTTGAGTCTGTTTTAACTCAATGAAATGTAATGACAACTTTGGACATTAAATATTTTTCTCCAACAACATCATTTAAATATATTAATTCTTCTGTCATTCTTATCCATTGTCCGACTTTGAGATGCATAGAAAGCAATAGGGGGAAAAAGAAAATAAAATATATAGTTCTTTTGAGATTCAGATATGTTCAATCTCAAGAAATTAGACATCAAGTGATTGGCACACATACCTACACTTTCTTAATTTCAATGTACAGTGACTGAAATGAAGTGTGAGTCATCCCCAGGAACCTCTAGAAGTAAAGACTAATTAGAAACAGTTCTCTGTGCACTCAAAAAACAAATACTGAATTAGACTGTTTTTTGACAGTGACTATTCAGTAACTGAGACAAAAATTTCAATATCTCTTCAGCCTCATGTTCTAGTTACAAAGCTATATTATAGACAAAAAGGTAATTTTGGAAGATGAGGAATGAAAAAAAACACCCCATAAACAAACACCCAACCCAAAAACAAATAGGAAACTAGAAAAAAAGATAAAGGCAAATAAGAATGATGTTTGATAGGACAAAGAGGCTTCTATGATTCCTGCCATGGCTACCATGTAGGAGAGAGCTCTGGAAAAATGTGAGTAGAGTGTATTCCAAGCTGGGGTTGTGAAGCTGAAAGCTCTGAAGTGTAAGTGAAACAGAGACACGAAAGGCACAGACAGAAGACCGATGTGACTAGACTCTAGTACACAGGGGCATGACGGCAAAGAACAGTGAAGCCACTATTTTGGTTTCTTCCCAAATATGATAAGAAGAACTTGAGAAAAGAAGCAATTTGATATGGTTATAATGTAAAACTCTTGGTAGATAACATAGGAAAACATTAAAAGGAAAAGGAAAAAGTAATATGAGTCAGAATTAAAATGAAACACCAAACAAAACAACCCGTCACAGCCCATTGCATTGGAACCCATTCATAGCTGATCTTCCATGGGTTTTCTGGGGCTCTAAATCTCACTAGAGCCACTGGTGGATTTGATTCACCAGAAAGGTATGGCTTTAGAATCAGCAGCAAAACTCCCTGGGCGTTGTACTACCAGTGTTCATTTAAAATGTATCAGAACTTACAAATGACATGTTACAAATGACATGCCTGAACATTGATCTGCAAAAGAAAGCTTATGGTTGCCTCAGAAGAAAAGACTTTTAAAAACCAGTGAAACAAAATATTCAGTGACTGACAAACAAAATCCTATGGAGCACAGCTCTACTTAGACAAGTATGGAGTTAGTGTAAGTCAGAACCCACTCAATGGTTAACTGGTTAGTTAAAATATTAAAAAGGATCTTCTCTTGTTATAAAAACCAACCAACCAACCAACCAACCAACCAACCCGCTGCCATTCAGTCTGTTATCATGAATGATGACCTCCCATGAGGTTTATGAGGCTGTAAATCTTAATGAAAGGATGAGCATCTGGTCAATTCAAACAATCCATCTTTTTGGTTATCAGCTCAACACATAACACAGTGTGTCACTAGGGTTCTTCTGTCTTGCTATAACAATAAAAAGAATACACTATCATGTTGGATGACAGAAGAGTTGACGTCTTTGCTTTGTGGTGTTGTACTGAATGTCCAGTGGACTGCCAAAAGAACAAACAGGACTGTTTTGGCATAAGTACAGGCAAGGTGCTCCTAAGAGTCAAGGATGTTGGAATTACATCTCACATAAATTGGGGATGTCTTCAAGAAGGGTCAGTCTTGGCAAAAGACATTATGCTGGGAAAGGTCAAGGATCAGAGGAAGAGAGAAAGACCCTTAACTAGATGGATTAACACAGTGGCTTTAACAGCAGGCTGGTGCATGGCAGATCATGAGGATGGAACAGAATAGGACAAGGCTCAGATCTGTTATTCATAGAGTCACTATCAAAGCTGTGACAAGGGCTTTTGAAGAAGGGTTGTAATATGGCTACAATGCATGATTCTTGCTTGATAATAGGGAAAAAAAGAGATGGAAAGGAAAGTGTAATAAGTGCATTTAAAAAGTAAAATTCGACCCACTGCCATTGTGTCCATTCTCGGTCATGAAGTCTTTCTCTGCAGTTTCACTCAAATCTTAAATGAAGGTGATTATCTAATATTTTCCTGAACAGCAACCAGTCAATTCAAACCACTGATAATTTGGTTAGCAGTAAGACACCACAATGTGTCAGATTGTAGCAATAAAAAGAATATAACTCTTATCACTCATCAATTATGCTAGGTGAGAGGGATTTTACACGTTTTTTGCAATGCTTGGAGTAAATACAGAAAGTCAGGTAAACGTTACACACGTGTGATTAAGTAAACCATTGTGTGTTTTTTTTCAGGAGATGCAGTCTATGCTGGAGAAATTTGCCCAACTCCCTGAGCACAACTCCTCAGACAGCACCTTTTTGGTGTTCATGTCTCATGGAGTCCTGGAGGGAATATGTGGGACTACATACAGCAAAGAAAATCCAGACGTGTTAAGTTACCACACCATCTTCGAGATTTTCAACAACCTCAACTGCAGTAGTCTAAAAGGCAAACCCAAAATCATCATTGTGCAGGCCTGCAGAGGAGGTAAGTTGTGTGTTATTAAAAAAAACCCCAAAGATTGAGAACTGGCTTACAGAAGATTATGATGCACATTTTGGATCAAAGGAAAATAGTCTCAGGCTTTATGTTGTATAACTACTGAATTGAAAACTCACAGTCATTGCCATCAAGTTGGATCACTCTCAAAGCTGACTCTCCAGTGGGTTTTCAGAGGTTGTAAAATGGCATAAAGTGAGACTGTAAGCTGGTGAGTTCAGACTACTCACTTTTGGGTTGACAGTAAAACTCACTAAACAACTAGAGTTACCTGAGACCAGAACTAAATTGTGTTACTTGGAAAGTCCACCTAGGGAGGTGGCAACAGAATTTATTTGATTGGTTGAAAGCTTCTATACCACTTAATACTTGCTGAAGTGGTGAGGAAGTAGACAATATCTCTAAATGAGTGTTAAACTTAAATAATAAGTAAGCTTTGTGATAAAATATTTTTGTAATAGATTTACTTGTAAATATTTTACAGCCATTTTGACATGTTACAGTTTGAGAAGAATTATTTATGATAGTAGAACCTGTGTGTCAAAGCATTTTATAGTTTTCATTTTCTTCTCCCCTCCCCACCTTTTTTAATCATTAAAAGGTCAAAGAATTGGAAGATGTGAGGCTTGACAATATTCTAGTCAAAATCTCTTTTTTTTATCTGACTGAGAAATGTCTCCTGTTTATTGGAAAATATTTTCAAGAAAATTAAGAAATAATAAAGGGAGAAGTAATTAAATTTAAAAAAAAACCCAACTAACAAACACCCTCTTAACTGTGTTCTGAAATTATACAAATAAGGCTTTAACTCATTTATTATTCTTCACAAATGAGTTGCTCTAATCTAATGAGCTTTCACTATACATTGATTTCACTGATAGATTGATCAATGGCACGAAAAAGAAAGGCATATGTGTGTTTGTGTGTTAAACTAGTAAAAAAAAATATTGGGGAGAGGAAATGGGAGAAGTACTTAGGAAAAGCAAAATTGAAGGCAAATGAGGAGTTTGTAAAATGTTTATGTCTCTACAGGAAACAGTGGAGGATTTTGGGATCCAGATTCTCTCTTGCCTTCAGCAACTAGGCCCACACAGTTACCTGAGAACCTGAAAGTGGATAGTATCAGCCTGACACACCTGGAGAAGGACTTCATTGCCTTCTACTCCACAACACCAAGTATGTGACTTTTAGTGCAGATAAGACTTGAAGATCTCAAACTTTTTCTGACAGATTCTAGAGAATCAAGATATTTCACATGCAGGAATAGTCTGACAGAAATTCCGAGTCATACTGATATATTTTGTTTCCCTTCTATCTGTGTTATGAGAACAGAGATCCTTAAATGAATCTATGTGTCTCCTCCCCCTTTTTATATTGTCAAAGATAGCATGGAATAAGCTGTAAAGAATATAGGAACCAGGCTGCCATTTTTCATTCACTGTGTGAACACAGGGAAGTTATTTAGGCCTCCTGAATTTCTGTTCTTTATTCTGTAAAATAGAAAAATTCCAATTATCTGTCAACAGTCTTTTTCAAAGCCGAGTGGTTGTAAGATAAGTATTATGACGTCAGACTAATCAATCACAGGACAGTCATCGCCAATTTTAACAATCTCAGCACTTTAATCTATGCCAGATATTTTTTCCTGGTTGTGAGAAAAATGTGTTAATGTAGGAGTATAACTGCTTTCCCTACACTTATAAAAAGAATTCCCAAGTAGGACTTTCAAAAAACCAAATAAATAAAACCAGTAAAGGAAATACTCTTTTCTTCACAGATAATATGTCCCTGAGACATGAAATAGAAGGTTCTCCCTTCATCACAAAACTCATCAAATGTATAAAAAAATATTCTTGGTGCTACCACGTAGAGGAAGTATTTCGGGAGGTAATCAACATTTCCTTTCCTTAATCACTTATGCATTCTGGAGTTGTTTATTATTATACACCTTCCACGTGAAAGCCAAGCATTGTTAAGGAAACAAAAGTAGAGTCATCCTTGTGTTTATTGTTTGGTCTTGAAAAAAATTGATATAACACAGCTGGGAATTGAAATGGAGTGAAATAATAATAATTTAAAAAAACCTAAGTTTGTATCTTTGGGGATGTAAGCTTGTAAAATTCAGAGGAAAAGAAGGATATTTTGAAATTATTTTTGTTGCTTAACTTAGTCAATAAAGACATCCTTGAGTGGCTTGATGGACAATGGACATAGTCAAGGTGACACAGGCAGAAAAGAGGACGACCTGATTTTGTTGAGTAGACTAACAAGCAAATATGTAATTACAGAACATTAGAAGTTTCATAAACAAATAGTCCTGGCATATATAAGAGTGAATAATGATAGAGAGTTCTTGGAATATAACGTTTCATGATATTTCTTTCCAAATTAGATACATTTCTTCTACTTCCCTCCTGGTTTACTTTCCTTTTCATCGCTTCTCATCACTGTTTATACTTTATTAGTTACTTCATTGTTGCTGATGTTGATGATACTTTAACTTGTATCTAGTCACTAGAATGAAAACCTTAAGAAGTCAAGAATATCCTTACTTAGTAGATATTTAAGCTCCATTGAATTAATGCATAAATGAATAAATGGATTATATTGAAAGGGAATGTTAATGGTATTAAAAATACAGGAAAATTGGTGGCTTGTATATTCAAAACCAGAGGAGTACGTAGCAATCTTTTTAGAAAATAGGGGCATTATATCTTATGTGTTTAGAAAAGGGTATATTATAAGTATAATTAGATGTAACTGTTTTAAAATAGGAGAATAAATGTTGTGTTGTTATTGGGTACTGTTAAGTCAGAACTGACTCATGGCTGACTCTCCAACAGGTTTTCAGAGGCAATAGATTAAGTAAGAAGGGATTCCCCATCTTTCTTTGTGGAGAGCACTGAAATAAAGTAAGAGATTGTGCTTTTAAGGAAGAGCCTGTGAAAACAAAGTGAACAAATGAAAACAATGTATTTCGCTTAAGTAGAATTCCATTGAGCAAGCCTTGATAGACAGTTTTAGAGGTTAGCTTACTTGGAAGATGTGAAATTTATTTCTTGTTCAGGTCTTGTGTTAATCCTGAAATTTGATTCTCAGGAAACTGAGGAATCACCCCTAGTGGATATCTCTAAGATGCAGTACTCAGAAAAAAATAAAATAGGGAATGGATAATAGACATTGGACACACATGAAGTGTTTATTTTAAGATGAAGATCACAATATGGAATGGAGTGTCACATCTAAGAACAGAATGAAAGCGACAAGGAGTTAGAGTACTTATGGATTTGACAACACCAATTGTACAAGTACCCTTCATCCCTAGCATTTTCTAGTGTAAGGTATTTTCTAAAAATAAGAAAGAGGAATGTCTCATCTGAAGCCCTTCTTTTCCCTTTTCTTTAGGTGCAACGACTGTTTGAAATACCAGAAGTTGCAGCCCAAATGCCCACTATGGACAGGGTGTCTATGACAAGATATTTCTACCTCTTTCCTGGCAATTAAAAACAGTAAGTATGAACAATTATTTTGGATAAGTATCATATACGTAAGAATCATATTAATAGTGAGGTCCAATGACCAGTGATAACTAATTTCTTGACTGAACAGCTAAGTATGCTTTGTTAGTAAGATGCTCTCCTTTCATCTCTAAAATTAATCCATCAAGGAGGTAAACAAAACTGTGCCAGGTAAGGATGATCAATAAAGGGCAGTGAGTAGCAATTATTATGAGAGAAATGTAGTCATAGTCCTCTTATTACTTCTTCTCATCTGCTTCTGTTTTGTCTTCTTCAAAATAGTTACTCTCATGAAGAAAATTTAATTGTAATTTGTACTAGAATCCTCTCATATAATATTAAGAATGGTTAGTCCTTGTGAAATGACATCATGCCTAAAAACTTAAAGGGTCAGGGAAAGCGAAGAAGGCAATATGTGAGACCAACTGACACAGAGGCTGAGATAATAGCTGTAAGCATAGCCGAGCTTGTTAGGATGGCAAAGGATTGAGCAGGTTTTCCTTTTGCTGTACATAGGACTTTTATGAATTTAACAACTCATGAGAAACTGACAGCAATAACAAAGGAAACCACAAAAGTACTTTGAACAGAGATGTGAGATAATCTAGTTTAAGTTCACAAAGATCATCCCAACTCCTTTGGTAAATAGATAGTAAGGATCATGGGTTGAAACAGTAATTTCAGAGAAGTGGCAAGAACACCATGGGATGGGATAGGATGGGATGGGATGGGATGGGATGGGATGGGATGGATGGGATGGGATGGGATGGGATGGGATGGGATGGGATGGGATGGGATGGGATGGGATGGGGTGGGATGTGATAGAACAGAAAGGAACGGAACAAAATGGAATGGAATGGAACAGAACAAATAGAACAGAGAAGATTAAAATCATAAATATGTTAAAGGGGAGAATGAAGACTGTAAAAAACATTATCTTCAGTTCTTTCTATTTTGTGTGGGTTTTTTTTTTTTTTAGGAATCATTGGAATTCCTACTTTCCCTTCTTCCCCTTCATCAGTCAGGAAGAAGCACAGAACCAGTACTGCTCCTAGAGAACAAGCACACAACATCATTCTCAGGAAACTCAGTGTAATTAAGGGATGACTTCTTGATTAATCGTCTTGTCTAAACTTGACCACAATTTTCAGAATTCTCTTTCTAGAAAAATTTCAGTAATATGAGCCACAAAGTATCTTCAAGAACTAGAATGCAAAAGAAACAAGCAGGGTCTACACCATCTATCAACGTTTGTTCATTATCCCAACCTCATTCCTGTTGGACTTTGGTGTAAGTTCCTCTTCTTCTGTACTAACTGATGTCAAGAAAGCACTTTAACCAACGCAATACATTTATTTAATATTTTGTATAAAAATAAAAATAGAAACAAAATGACTATGTGTTTTATGTTTTCTAATATAGAATGACATTTCAATGACAATAGTGAGCAGAAATAAAATCAAAGAGGCTAGCTTGATGTTCTGGATTCATGGTTCATATAACATCTTTCCTTTAGTGAATGAAGAAAAATGTATTAAAGATAACTTTATCCAGAAATGAGGAAGAAGTCAATTGTGTACAGTCAGAGAAAATAATGCTAACAGTTTATTGTTTGCATATTCATTAAGTTCTTCATCTAGATTGATGTAGAAGTTCTCTTACTTTTTACTTAGATTTCATCATAAATTGACATGTATTTTTTTCAGTACATATTTTGTTGAAGTAAAATATACACATTAGGTTTTTCTTCCTTCATATTGTAAATGAATTAATTCTCTCCTCAATTATTTCTTTTTGAGACATTTGCATAGTTAGACACTCAAGAAGACCTTATTCTTTAATAAACATTTGCTATTACACAATAAATGAGACTTCTTGGTCAAGATAGTATAACCTCAGTCTCTTTTTCTTAAAATGGAAGTATAATAAGCAGTCGTTACCATAAAGAATTCTTCTACCTAACACAAGCTTATGACCTTACCTGGCATAGTTTCCATGATATCCTCACCTCTATTCTCACACCTGATGAGAAAGACCACATTTTAGCAGCTGCTCACATATAGCTAACCAGACACATCTCCCAGACCAGACAATGCCTGTAAGTGTGGTAGCTGCCCCAGACGCAGAGCCCAACTGGGACTACAAACACGGCCGAGAAGGCAGGTGTAGGAGTGACTATATGATTCAGTGTCTCTTAGCAGGCAAGCAAGGCACCACCCAGAAAGTCATTAATTATAACAAACTCCAGGAAATAACACTAGGACCAGATGAGAATCCAGCAGTCTTAAATAGACTAACCGAAGTTCTAACCCAGTACACCCACCTAGACCCTTCAACTGCACCAGAGTCTATGGTTTTAGCCACTCATTTCATAACACAATCTTCACCTGACATGCAGATAAAACTCAAACTAGTAAACATGGCTTTTGAAGTTTTTCCAGGCAGGATGGACCTGAATCAATAAAACAGGCTTGGATGCATCAAAAGGTAACTTTCTAGACCCACACCATTGTAGCCCCTCTCTGGCTGGCAACCCAAGGTAAAAAAGAGGCCTCAGTGGGATCTCCCTTCAAAATCTACACTGCTGAGTGCATACTTCAAGTGTGGCCTAGGTCATTGGACACAGCAATGCCCACGATTCCAGCCACCAACAAAGCCTTGTCCAGCCTGCAAGCAACGAGGCCACTGGCAAAGTGACTGCCCCCTGGTGTCAAGCTCATCCTCAGCACCTCAACATTGAGGACAAGCTGATGGCGGTCCAGTGGTCCCAACCCTTGAGATCTCCTGAGCCTAGTGGATGAGGACTGAGGCTGCCTGGACTCAAGGACCCCATTACTCTCTCCAAGCCCTCAGTGACTATAATCATAGTGGGTAAATCTATTTCATTTTTAAAAGACATGGGGCTACCTCCCCACCATTTCAGGTGCCACAACTACTTCCCAGGTCATGGTCATGGGAAATGATGGGAAGCCTACTGTATACCCACACAAGATTCCTCCCTTGCTGTGTGTGTTAGGTAAAATCCCTTTCTCACACTCTTTTTTAGTTATGCCCTCTTGCCCTGTCTCCCTATTGTTGCTGTTTTGTTGTTATATGCCATCGAGTCGCTTGTGACTCATAGTGACCTTATGTACAACAGCCCTAAACTCTGCTTTGTCCTGTGCCAATCGCACTGTCTCTGACACTCCTATCCCGATTATCCCAGTCACTGAATCAATCCACCTTCCCTTCCTGCACTGTCCCTCCAACTGCCCAAGCATGATGTCCTTCTCCAAGGACAGGTCCCTCCTTACAACATGTCCAAAAGATGTTAGACAGAGCCTCAGAATCCTTGTCACCAAGGAGCTGCCTGGTTTTACCCTTTCCAGGATGAATCTGTTTGTTTACCTAGCAGTCTATGGTTCCCTCATTACTCTTATCCAGCACCACAGTTCAAAGGCATCAATTCTCCTTCTATCCTCTTTGGTCATTGTCCAACTCTCTGATGCATAACAAGTGACTGCAAGGACCGTCGCCTGTATCAGATGCACCTTAGTCTCCAGAGAGACACCATTGCTCTTCAGTACGTTGGAGAGGTCCCTAACAGCAGAATTTCCCATCACAGCATGTTTTTTTATTTTTTTATTTCCTGGCTACTGGTGCCAAGAGTGTTGACTGACTGTGGATGCAAACAAACTAAAGCTGTGAAAAATCTCAATCTCTTCGCCATCCATCTTGATGCTGCCAGTTGGTCCAGTGGTGAGAAACTTTGTCTTCTTGACATTGAGCCTCAATCCATATTGAAGGCTGCAGTCCTTGACCCTCTGAAGCAAGTGCTTCAGGTCCTCTTTAGTTTCAGCAAGTAGGGTTGTGTCATTTGCATATCGCAGATTGTTGATAGATCTTCAACCAATCTTGACCCCACATTTCTCCTCATAGAGCCCAGCCTCCCGGATAATCTGTTCTGCATACAGGTTGAAAAGGTATGGATACGGGACACATCCCTGGCATACACCCTTCCCAAATTTGAACCATGCAGTGTTTCCTTGCTCCATTCTGACCACTGCCTCTTGGTCCAAGTATAGTTTTCTCATTAGCACGATCAAGTGTTCTGGTGTTCCCATTCTTTTCAGTCAGCCACAGTTTGTCATGATCCACACAGTCAAATGCCTTTGCATAGTCAATGAAACACAGATATTCATTCCTCTGGTATACCCTGATTTCAGCTAAGATCCATCTAACATTAGCTACAATATCCGTAGTACCACGACCCCTTCTAAACCCAGCCTAGACTTCTGGCAGTTCTCTGCTGATGTGTTGTTCCAGTCGTTTTTGGATCATCTTCAGTTGAATCTTGCTTCCATGTGATATTAATGATATTGTTCTATAGTTTCCACACTCCGCTGAGTCACCCTTCTTTGGGATGGGAATATAGATCTTTTCCAGTCAGTTGCCAAGTGGTTGTTCTCCAGATTTCTTGGCATGACTTGGTGAGCACATCCAGGGCATATCTAGCTGAAATATGTCAATTGAGCTGCAATACCAAGAGATATACGTGACCAAAGTTTATTACAGCTTTATGTTCAATAGCATAAAGGTAAAAGCAAGTGTGTCTTAAATGAATGGGGTAACTATAGTACATCTACACAATGGTGTACAATGTGACATTAAACAACAATAAAGAACATTATACAAATGGATGAGTCTAGAGGACATTATGATGAATGATAAATATTGACAAAAATAATGACTTGAAAAGACAAATATTGTAATAGATCATTGCTGCAAGAACTAGAGAAAATTTAACATATGGAGAGAATCCATCCAATATAATCACCTAGAAGAGCGTAGGATGTTACAAGATTAATGGATAGGGAGTGAACACTTTATTGGAGTGAATAAAGGGAAGCACGTTCTGGAATGAATATTTAGACATCATGTATATTGTAATTGATGCAATGGAACAAAATATGTGTGGCTGATTGACATTAAAAAAATGTCAAAACC